GTTCCCCCTTGCTTTTTGTCCCCCCCCCGGAAAGAGAAAGCCCTTTGATGCCGCTTTCTTTTGCAGAATCCTTTATCCCGTTTGCCTCCTGTTGACTCTGATTCCAAAACTCCGCCCCCCCTTAAAAAAAAACTTTTTAGGTCCACTTTTTCCGTGTGTGAATGGTTGCTGTTACCTTCACTTCCTCCCTCCCTTTTCAGGAATAAATAACTACCCCGTTAAATGAATTAATAGAGGAGGGGAAGTGTTAATTAGCCCTGTCTAATTCTCCTCCTAAAACTCTTCCTTTGAAAACAAAACGTTTAGGTGCACTTTTTCCCCAGGGGTTGAAATGTGTGCTGAACTCCCTTCTCCCCAACTTTTCAGGAACATACCGCATAGAGCTGCCTCGTTACATTAGTTAATAGTGGGGTGTACTGTTAATCAGCCTGTCTCATAATTCTCCTGGGCTTGCTCCAGCTCCTGACTCAACACACCTAACCCCCCCCTTTTTTTTTGCCGGCTCCACTTCCATTTCTCACCTTTAAATCGGATTCTTTTCTTTTCTCATCCGTGTTCCTTTCCCTGACTTGCTCTTTGCTCCTGGTAGGAGTGCCTTAAACCACTCGACCCAATGAATAAGCAGCACCTCCCCTCCACGTATCCCTAAACCCCTGATTCTCTTTCTTCGCTTTTCCAAGCCCTTGACATGTTTTGTCATCAAATGTACAGCAAAGACTTGAAGGAAGCGGAGTGTGTACTTTCAGAGGGGTGGGGTGGGGGGACAGCCAGAAATCCTCGTTGGATGTTGTGGGAGTTAATCTTGCCACTTTGAAAAGGGACTTTATTTTGGGACTGCTGCAGCACTGAATCCCCAGTCGCCCTTAGGATGGTGGCTGCTGCTGCTGCTGGAGGCCATGCCGGCAGCTGGATCTACAAGTTGCTGTTAGAAAAATGAACTTTTCAGCGCTAGGCTTTAAAGCGCTGTCTACAAAGTGCAATCTCTAGAACTCTGTGGTGACGTGTACAGTTTAAGGGAAGTGGTATTCATTAAACGGGGTGGATGGCAGTTTTTTTTTGTCTCCAGGTGTTGTTCTTTCCACCATTTTTAAGTTCATAAGCTTTAATTGTGGTTGTTAAAAATCAGAATTGAGCTTGGTTTGGCTGCTTTATATGAAAGGGAGGTTGACTTACCGGTCCCCCTCCAAAAAGCTCCCTGGAGTCTGATGCCGTTGTACCTGAGAAGTGGGTCTCCACAGAGATGTGGCAGCGGTGGGGACTGGATTTGTCCTTCTGCTAAACCCACACACACGTGTGAGAACATTATGTGTTCCCTGCAGAAACTGAGACTGCTGAGCTTGAAAGTCTAAAGCCAGAGGAACACTCCTTGCATTTCCTTAAATTGTATGTATAGACTGATACAGCGAGAGGATGCCCGGAATATAGACAGTTCTTCTGATGTCCGAGTTAAGCAAAATCCTGCAATCCCTTCCTGGGAACTCTTGACGCTTGTTTCCAAAATGAAACAAACATACAAGGAAAAAAAAACAAGCCCTGTGCTGCCGGCTGTCTGAAGTTTTTTTTTCAGCCGCTGGTGGGGATCTGAAGCAGTCAGCTGTGCCCGAGAGAGGAGGGGCGGCGGGTGACGTGCGCTTGCAGAAACGAGAGGCCCCATCTTGAAAAGGCTTGTTGAGACACAAAAGGGGTAGAAGTGTTGTGTATGGGAGGTGGTGGGGGAAGAGACCGTGGGGGAGCGCGCTCTGGACTGCGGGAGGGAGGGCGCTGGGGAGTGACACCCATGCCACCTGCCTTGACCCATCAGCGGCAGGAGAGGAGGTGCCCTCTCTCAACTAGCTGTCGTGGCCTTAATTGGAGCTGGTGGAGCCGTTGGGTCTCTTGGCAGAGTAAGGGATGCCAGGCATGGTGCCCCATTGTGGAGGCAAAATGAGCCTTCGAGGCAAGCGGCCGGGTGTTCTCTCGGTAGCGCTCGGTGCTTGCACACCTGTGGAGTGGGCTCCTTTAAGCGCATCCCGGACGCCTTTGTGTGTTCCTTAAAACGTTCTTTCTAAGGGCGAGGGTGTCCTTTCGGTGCCCACGCCGTTGGCACGAGCCCCTGCCAGAGAGCGTAAGACGGGGCTCCTTCGTGACTTGGCTTTCAGTCTTGAGATAACCCCGTAGAAAATCTGGCAGCTGGGAGCAGCTGGTTTCCTGCTAATTACCCTTGGAGGCCTTTCTGGCGACTCCAGGAGACTCCGAAAAAGGCTCCACTGGATTCTTATCTGGCGGCCACAGCCTCGGTGGTGGGAGAAAGCAGAGAGCGCAAAAGAGCCCTCCGGATGGGGGGCTGGCCGTGGGGGACGGCGGCTGCTTTCTCTCAGGCGGCACAGCTATGCCGCAGATACCTGTTGGACTCCTGGAAAAGGAGTGCCCTTAGGTTTGTTGTGAAACGGTGTACCCTATGTGTGTTGTTTATTTCCTTGAACTTGTGGTGGTGGGGAAACTACACGGAGTGTTCTTTGGCTCAGATTAAAATCTTGTGAGTTTTGAAACAAGCTTTGGAGGTTGCTGGTTCCTTCCAGGGAGAAATGATGGCCTTTGGGCTTAGCAAGCTGCCTTTCCCCCAATTTGGCCATGGGAAAGACATCTGGGCTAGCAGGCCAGCAAATGTTTTGTCACTTTGCGGGTGTCTTTTTCAGTTTGCTTATTGTGGACTTCTTTGCAAGCCTGACCTTACCTGTCGGCTAATTCTGTTGGTTTCACAGGTTCTGTTTCTCTCTGTCTCCGGGTGTTTCCTTTCCCAGCGTGACAACCTTTCCCAGCGAGAACTGTTCCTCTTTCAACTAGCCCTTGCCCTGTAGATCAGCGCCTTCTACAAATATGCAAAATTTGGCCTTCCAGTTTAGTAAGAGGAAGAAACTCAGTGTGTTTGCTAAGGTGGATGAGACCAGGTACCCAGGTGAACAGCTCCCAAACTTTATTATTATTATTATTATTGGTGGGATGGGAGCTAAATCAGAGGGATGCTGTATTCCCCCCCCACCGCTTCCTGCTTTCACTTTCAGGCTTTCTTTTTTCACATCTGAGCATTGCACAATTTTCGCTGGCGTGAGTGAGCGCCAGCTCTGTGGTCGCGATTTCTTGCCGAACCGGTGAAGTCTTCCTTGCTTCTCCGCCTCTTCTGGGGCCAATAAGGAAACCGTTTTGTCGTGTTAATGAAAAATCTGGGATCTCGTGTCCCTTGAGCGGACTGACCTTTACTCGAGGTCCAAAAGAAGAAGAAGAAAAAAAGGCCGGAGCCTTCTTGGTGGGTGGAAGCAATTATGGTTTTCCTGGTTAACGAAGTTAGTCATTAGGCAGCCAGAGCTCAAGGTGTGAGTTGTCGTGGGCTGGACTTTGTGAGCAACCTTTGGGTCCCCGTTATAATTCTTTTGTAATCTGCTTGCGGTCAGGAACGTGCTGACTCAGGCGAAAGCTGGGATGAGGGAAGGATGTCAGGACAGGGTTGGGGAGGGAGGGAGGGAGGGAGAAGCTGGCCTGCCATACCTTGTGGCGCCACGCTGTGAAAGTCTTCTTCTGTCATTCCAGGGTTTGGTCCGTTCGGGGAGCACTCCGTGAACGCCAGCTGGATTGCGGTTCAGGTAAAAGATGTTCCCTTTTCAGCCCTTTTCCCAAAATCTCTTAGTTTTAAAAAAAACAAAACAGTTTTTGTTTGCCCAACTAAACCCCACCAAACTTTAAAGAGCCCACATCTGGATCAGCCTCTTACCAATCACTGCTTGGCTTTAGTCGGCCGTGGTGAATAATTCTCAGCTGTGGGCAACCAGGGCAAAAAAAAAAAGGGATGTTTTTTGTTGGAGGGGAAATCATTTTGGGCCACAAATGTGGGCACATCTCTTTGCGAACATGGAGATCGTAGCCAGGAGAGAGCCCTTCAGACGGGCTTTTGCCATCGGGTCAAGAAATCTCCATAGGATTGGTGTAGGGGGAGCACGCCTCTGTGATAAAAGATGCCCCTTATGAAGGTAAAGGGGAAATCCTCCCCCTTAATAGGGTGCTTCCCTTCTGTTGCTTATCCTGACAAAAGTATCATCATCATCATCTTGGAACAGCCGAGCTGGAAGGGCCCCCCGAGATCATCCAGTCCAGCTCCTCATGAGGGGGCTCAGTCGGGAATCAAACTCCCAGCCACTGGCTCCACAGCCAGAGACCTAAACCGTTGAGCGATTGTGTATCTGTCTGGTGGATGAATTGGTGCCACCGGTTTAATTGTAGGAGGCGACCTGTTCCCTCTCTGCTTGGGGAGATGGTGGGGAAATCCGTCTGCCTTGAGATGCTAAAACCCGCCAAGGCCAGCAGAAATCCGCGGTCGTGGATTTGTTGACAGGCTAGCCTCCTCAGCTAATGGCTGGTTTGGGTGGCTCCTGAGCCTTCTTGCCCAGAAGCCACCCTGCTGCCTTTCCGTCCTACAAAGCCAGTGGGCTCTCCTGAACCACGGTTAGGCCGGCTGACCGAGCTTGTGGAACTTCCTGCCACAAGGAACGATGGTTCCCCACCTTGGGTTAAGCAGCTGATGTTTTTCATCCTCTTTGACGCGCTGGTTTGTGAGGAGCTGCTCGCCTGGCAGCTGAATGGAACCTCCATGGACAGGAAAATCTATCTTGGATTCCTCGGGGCTCCGGGTGAGCGTTCCCCTTTGCCAGGCGGGAAATAGGCTAGAATCTCCCCGTATTTAATAGTGGAGGGTGATGCTGTCCCATTTCTTAGCCAGAAGTGGCTTAAGGCAAGACGTCCCGTCTGAAGCCCAAATTCAATCTCAGAGATGTCTCGGCACTTTCTCTCCATCGAGGATTGGGCCCACAATGATGGGGATGTTTCATTTCCATGCCAGAGGCATTTTGACCTTCCAGAACAGGAAGAACATTGTCCCAAAGTTGGGGAATCACAGAATCCTCTGAAGAGAGAGAGTTTCTCTTTGGAGAGGAAGCTTGGAGGTCTGGGTTCAGCCCCAAGGCCTCAGGTTCCTGACCCATGGCTTAGCTTGAGAGGAAACTAGGGCTGGGGCCGTGGGGTTTTACCCAAGGAATCCCCAAACTGGGCCACTGGTGGCAACCATCAGGCTGCGTGATGTGTGATCGAGTGTGTAGAAGGTGCTCCTTTTCATTTCCATTAAATTCCAAGGAAAACCAACACAGATGTACAAAACACAAGTAACCTGCCAACTTAAAAGAGTAAATGAAAAGTAAACAGAACCACAATGATCAGGCTGGGGTCGGCAATGCTCCTTATGTCCCCATCAGCAGAGGGGCTCCCCCCTCCCGGGTGTTTCCTGATCGTCTAGGGTTGTGGGGGGGGGGTCGCCAGGTGTTCTTGGATGACAACTTCCAGAAATCCTGGCCAGCTCAGCTCAGGGAGAAGGCTTCTGGGAGCCGTAGTCCGGTTTGGAAAGGGCGAGATTGCGGCAGGCTCTACACACAGGAGGCATTGCTGGGACTCAAACTCCCGACCGCTGGCTCTGCCGCCGGAGACCTAACCAGAGAGCTAGCTAACAAAATGGCAAAGGTGCAGGCTTAAGGGCCTGATTTGCCTGTCTCTGCTTCCGGGCCCCTTGCAGCTAACTTGCATTCATGAGGGCTAGAGACTTGAGCACTTTCTCTTTCCTTTTATCCCAAAGGGAAGCGGAGATCCCAAGGAACTATAGTGTAAATGTCACTGGGAGGATAGCAAGAGCATTGCCTCCTCCCCCCCCCTTGCTTGGCAGCCTAACCTCTCCTCCTAAGTCAGGGGCTCTGGGAATACTTTCCCCAAATGCTTTCCAATTAAACCTCCAGCCGTAATCAATTGCAGCTAGCTAATGGACAGGCCGACGGCTGTCTGGTGTGTAGCTTTGGGCCTCACACACAAACACACACACGCTCTGTCTCTCCTGTCTTTTGAAAGCCAACCAGTTTGTTGAGCCAGGCTCACGGAGCCTGGAGGAGAAGCGAGATTTCACTAGGAAAATCCTAGCTATAATGCGTGTGTGTGTGTGTGGGGGGAGTTTCTGCACAAAACAGGTGTCTTTTCGCATTGAGAGGCAAAGCAGACCTCCATAGCCAGCAGAGAAGGGGCAGGGTTGAGGGTTTGAAAGATAGGAACAACCCATTCTGTGCTTGGGCTTCTGAAACATTCATCAAAGTAGTAGCCATTCTGCTGCATGGTTTTTCAGAAATAAATAAACTCAGCCAATGCCAGAACCCTTGTTCAGCATCTCTGAAGTTTAATTGGGTAGGTGTGTTCGTGGGGCGTGAGCCGTTGCTTTAGATGTAAGCTGCAGCCTTAGGTCAATTGACTGGACTTGTGCGTCTGCGTGTTTAAAAATAAAATGAATTAAAATCTTCCCACATTGACTCGGGAGGTACCTTGATAAGCAAACTTCCTTTTTAAGACAAAGCTGGGCAAAGTTGGTGCCGGACTTCAGCTCTCTCAACATTCAGCTGCTCTTGGATTACAACCCCCATCATTCTTCAGCAGGGGCGTTTCCGGCTAAGGTGGATGGGGCATGCAGTCCAGCAGTATCTGGAGGGTTTTAAGGTGACGTGGGCCCATTTCCCAGCTGACACTGTGTGGGGAGAAGGGCGTGACTTTGGCCCTCCCAGTGGGTAATGCAGGAAAGAAGTCTGTGACTTGGCTGTTTTTAAATCTCAACGTTTCGTTCCATAAGTGATTTAAATCGTGTGTCGCTTTGGGCTTTTTTTCTTGGACTGGGCGTCCCTGTCGGGGAGCTGGACCCGATGTTCCCTAGCGTACCCTCCAAGAGGATCATGATGATTAAAGGCATCAACTCAGTGACCGAAAAAGGGCCCATTTTTATGCGGAATAAACACCATACCCCAAAAAACAAGAGAAACACAGTGTACTAAAAGCTTAATATAATATAAACAAAACCCATGTTTTGTTACTAAACACAGGCTCCCACTAACAATTCGCTTATGCGCTTTTATACATTCATGTTATAAAATACCAGTCATCTATGCAAAATATATATTTATGATACCCAAACCACCTTAGTTGAAATCTAGACCACATTAATTCAAATATATATATAGCCACAGGGATGCTCAAAAGGTCATCTCAAAGCTATTCTCTCTCTCTAGTAATAAACAAAACACGTAACCATCCGCTGGGATGCCTGGGAAATCCTTCATACAAAGTGCTAAATTCCGGCAAAGGAAGCCACGAGAAGGCCTCCAGCAGGGCTGTTTAATGAGAGGGCCTTTTGGAAGGTGTTAATTCATAAGGTCTCCGTACTTCAGATGAGAGTAGCCCCAGCAAGCAAACTGAGGAAGGGCTGGAGGTGACCCTTTTCAACTCCCCAAAGGTCCTTGGGTCGCCAGGGGTGGGGATGGAACCCTGATGTAGAATCGGAGTTTGGACACGCTACTTTTTGGGCTCCATGCTGGCTGGAAACATTAGTCGAAGCAGTTATGGTCTGCTTCTCCACTCTGGTTTCAGATGTCGTTATGTGCCTTCAAGTTGCCTCCCGAGGGAGCAATCTCCCGAATGTCCCTAGCTTTTGACTGCCCTGGGAGTCTCCTCTTCCAGCACTATCTTTTGTATCGTTTTTCACTGTCCCCTGCCATCTAGTCGCCTCCGACTCTTGGCAGCCCGGTGAATGAGCCACCTCTGAAAGAGCTGGTCTTCCGCAGCCCTGCTGAGCTCCTGCAAACTCAAAAGCCTTGAAGGAGTCAATCCATCTTGCCTTTTGGTCTTCCTCTTTTCCTGCTGGCTTCCACCTTGCCCAGCAGGATGGTTTCTCCCCCCCCCCAGGGGATCCGGTCTTCTCGTGAGGTGCCAAAAAGAGGACCGCTTCCAAGCTTGGTTTGATTTTGCAAAGGGGCCTACCTAAAAATACTGAATTATTCTTTTCAAAATGTCTGGTGGATTCAGGAGATGCCTTTCTAGCCTTCCTCCATGTTAGAAAAGGCACACTCAAGTTCACTCACCATTACAATAATAATAACACACTAATAATAATTCACTATATCCTGCACTCGCTCAATGCTTTCCCGAGAGTAAAACCTCCACCCCATGCAGCACATGCTCGGCCTAAGTTTTTTCTCTCTTCTTTCTGCACATGTAAAAGTTGGGGGGGGGAAGAGATTTGGGGCTGGCTCTCCTCTCTGCCCCACGGTGGAGAGCCCCAGACACACAAAAAAGGACTTGGCCTGCCTTCAAACATCATGTGCCAGGGGGAGCCCTGTGCCCCCCACCCATCCCCGGTCTCAGACAGGACTCCATAGAACTGGAAGGGACACAAAGCCCGGTGTCTGAGTTCCCAAGTCCCAGACGGGTGTGATCTGCATTTTAATAGAAGAAAAATCAATTAAACAATCTTGGTAAATCCTGCCTGGCTTGAGAGGAGGCCGAGCAGGGCTCATGGTTTATTACATCCCCGGCATTATCCAACTTCCTAAAGCTTTAAAGGGAGCCGAGGAGGAGGAGGGGGCAGGCAGGATGGCGCTGGGGAGACCCTCGGCCCCATTCCTCTTTCTGTTGTTTAAGGATTTCTTCTCGTCTGGCTCCTCGGTTGAATGCAGACACCCCCGAACTCAACTTTCGTGGGGCACGGTGGAGGGGGTGAGTGGGGGAGAAGAAACCCCACAACTTAATCCTGACGCGGTTGCAGAATGATCGGAAAGCTCCGTGGCGTTTTTGGGGACAGCACCTCCTTCGAAATAGGTGGCTTTTTCAGTAGTGTGTCGTGAGCCGCCATGCAGCTGCATGTGAATGCTTTGCAGAAGTGCGCGCTCTGAAGTTCTTCTTTCTTGATTATTAGGGTTTTTTGGAGTTGGAGGGGGGGAGGAAAGGAGCCACCTCCCAACCCTTTCCACGGGGCTGTATTTTCCTGTCTCAGGTGTGCCTTCTGGACTGTGACGTTAATTCTGGCTGCGGGGGCCCATTTATCCGGTCACCCCCTTTTTTCTCCCACCCACCCTCCCTGGGCGGGTGAGGAGTGAGGTCAGAGCCCCCTCCCGACATCCTCTGGTGGAACAATTGCTGTCAGGGCGTCTAGACAGACCAGATAAGGTTATTAGAAAATCACAAAGCCGGCCATTGTGAAGGGGGCCAGGGAATCGGTCACACACATGCACACACACACAGACACACACATACATGTACGTTTCGGGTGTGTGTATGTTTCCCACTGCTGTATTTGACCGGTACACAAGGCAGCAGATAACAAGTTTGTCTGCCCCCCCCCCAAAAAAAACTTCTGTATTTCCACCACCTTAAATAACAGAATTCATCTTTCAGGGGAAAAAAACCACAAAATCTCTATATGTTTATAAAACTATGTTTTTTTTGTTTTCTTTTCCAGTTTTAAAAGTATGTTTCCTTTTGCCCTGGTCTGTTTGCATTTTAAAGTGTCATTTCTTGATTTTTGTTGTTGTTGTTTTCTTAAATTAAAAAAAAGAAGAATATGAGGGTGTGAAAAATAATACTGAGTTTTCGAGACAGATAACTCAACCGGGCTTAGTGCATCCATGTTTAAAACATGGGCTTCACCTTGTGAGAGTCCGGATTCATTTCCAAGATGGCACCACACTCTTGTTTGTACAGTTTATCATCATCATCTTAGAACGGCAGAGCTGGAAGGGGATCCTGGAGGTCATCCAGTTCAGCCCCTTCTGAAGGAGGCCCCGTGGGGGATTCAAACGTCTCACTTCTGGCTCCACAGAGCCTCAACCCCTGAGCTCTCCAGCCAGGTAAAAAGCCCAGGATCTAAATTCCTCCATGATAAAGGTTTTGTTTTTATCATTCCTCTCCCCCTCCCGCCAACTTTACAATCGTTCATTTCTCAGCTTCTTAACCATTTAGAGAATTAAATTTTTATTGGAATATTTTGGGGGGATGATCTCAAAAAAATTAAATCAAGTTGATTTTTTTTTTTTTTTGTAAAAATCGATCATTATCCAACCTGTCCGCTGGTGGAAGGAGAGAGAAAAAGAAGGAAGCCTTTCCGGGTTTCTCTTGGCAGGGAGTTCCACAGGTTCCAGCATGCCACAAAAGCAGGGTTCGCTTACCTACCCCATCTCCTTTCCTTTCTCTTCCGTGGAACCCCCCCCCCGGGCAGTTTCTCTGTCTGATCTCCCATGACTGTTCCCCCCATCTCCTTGCCTGAGGTCACCCGGATAATTTGAACCCATCCCTCGAGGCCCAGCCTTTGCTAATGAACCCAAGCATTCCAGACGTGGATCAATACGGGTGTGTTTTTTTGCTCACCAGAGGATCAGCCGAACCCTGTGGTTTATCCCTGTTTGTTTTTCCTGGGTGTCTCTCCTCACCCTGCGCCGGCTGGGGAAGGGGGGTGCAGCCGACCCTGCTGGACTTCCAAACAAATTCCTTTCAAGATCCGTTTTTTTTTTGGGGGGGGGAGAGAACCGTAATATATTTATCAAGTACTGTACACAATTTAAAAACTGCTTTGCATCAATCTCTCAAACTTCCCACAGCGGTTGTGAGTAGGGTTGCGTGGAAGATAACAAGCCGTGAAGGGTCTCCTGGTCTGGCCGCCTCTCCTCCTGCATCTAAGCCCTGTCTCCATCGATCAGCTCCTAGGGAGTGAGGGGTACAAGCGGCTGCCCTGGTGGTGGGCTTCTGTTTTCGATTGACCCCGGTGGGAGGCCGAACACCAGACGAGAGAGGCCCCTCTGGAGCCGTCCAGCTTCCCTCCCCGTCTCCGTCCGTCTGGAACTGCTTTCTCTATACTCTGGAGCTGCAATGAGTGTCATTCCCTCCAGCTAAGCGGGGCTTGCACAGCAAGGAACAGTGTTGCCTGGAGAGGTCTGTAGCCCAGGGTCTCAGGCCGAGTGAGTGAACGGGATGTTTATGCAGAAGAGTCTATAGGAGGGCCTGGGGGGGGAGGGAGAGGAAATCCAGGCATTTCAGCAGACGACAAGCTAAGCATGAGCCAACGGTCCGATGCAGCAGCAAAAAGGACAGATGTAATACACGGCTGCATCCGACACTTGAACCCATTCCATGGGAAGTGAGTGGACTTTTCTTTGCCAGAGGTTTTCCAGCAGGCCCCGCCTGGCGACGATGCTGAAGTGAGGATTTCCTGCTTATGTAGGGGTTGGACTGGATGACCCAGGCTTACGGGAACCCTCCCGGCTCCGCTTCCCGATGGGAACCCCTTTGCACTGCGGAGTAATTTAAAATGCAGCCAAAGAAGGAGAAGAAAAAGCATTGGAATGGATTTGATTACAGACTTTTCCCTGGAAAC